AAAGTGAAGTAGAGAATGATTATTTCAGGAAACACCCTCTTATGCGCCTGTTTCTTTGTGGACCACGTTGTTGCTCCGTGAGTACAAGTTCCCAAATATATACATAAAATTTAAATTATTTGTGTTAGAATGGCTGATCTGTAAATGAATATGACTTTTGAAATATATGATTAATCTATTTTCAGAAAAAAGTGAAAACCAAGGATACGGAGAAACTTGGAGTGTTGCAGAGAATTCGGAAACTTTTCCGCAGGAATTAGTTGTATAGTTGAACTGTTACATGTATTTTTAAAAAAGAAGCCAAGGCTGTGATATATTCTTAAAAGAGTAAATTAAATTTTATTTTATACCTGCATTATGCTGTTTTATGCTGTTTATTTCTATTGATTGGAAGTATGGCAAGTTGAAAAGCTGTTAAATTGATTACAAGATAGAATTCAAAAGATACTATACAAAGTCAACTGAAGTACTTTTCTTGAATCCGTCTTTCACTAATTTACAATTTTCAATTGTTAATGAGTACATGTCTAATTATAGTCATATACTCACTGACAATTCAAAATTATATATTAGTGAACGACGCATCTTTTACTCTGTTTCTCTATAAAGAGTACTCTTTTCAAAAGCAGCACCAACGCAAAATATACATCTATTTCTAAAATTCAAGCCAGAAATTCGATGCACACACATGATTTAGAAGTCAAGACTCAACAGAAACTTTCTGGGACGCTTTATGGTCATTGTTTCGTGTACATCAAAATTATTAAGTTTATCGGCAAAAACAGCAACTTCTGTAGTACATATATATGTACTAAAATTTCTGTGCAGATGAACGGAGAAGCAAATTTTACTCTTCTCCAAGTGCCGATAAAAAATACATTTCTCTTTATATGTCAAGCATTCCCCTTTTACTTCACATGTGAAATTTGTTTTTGTTTTATTTAGAATTAATAAAAAGAAGAAGAAGCTATTTTCGGTATTAATTATTCTTTTATAAATGCATATATGGAATTTGATTTATAGCAACATTTTGTTTAACTCAAAAATAGATCCCTATTTCAATCTTACCCATGCATTCTCTCTTGATCGCAAACGCTAGGACACCCCTATTCCGGTCTTTTCTTTTTTATGAACAGATTTGCCTTAATTCGTACTTATGTATTTCATATTCACCAAACTACTGTTAACTATCTTAACTTATTCAAAACAAAAAACAACTCAAATAAGAGGTTTATCAGAAAATCAACATTTCTATTACACACCAATCTTTTCTGAACAACCTGTACAATGTTTTCCCAATTTGGCTTTTTTTAAAGCAATATATATATATATATATATATATATATATATATATATATATATATATATATATATATATATATATATTCTTCTTTTAATTCCAATATTGCGACGTTGGGGCCAGTTTGGGGAGACATAATCCATTGCTTGCATAAGCAGACTTTCTAGTTATTAGTCCCCTACCTGTGAAGCCGGAGAGTACTATAGGTTTCCTCCTCGTCTGTCTGTCTGTCTGTCCCTCCATCTGTATGTCAGTCTGTTTCACTTAGCTTTTCGCACTTTTTTTTCTAAACGCTTGCAGATATTGAGCTGATTTTTGGTATTTGATCGTACCTTGATGAGTTACACAGATGTTTGCATTTCGTTCCGCTGTCCTTGATTTATGACGAAATTGTAGTCATTTTTAAATTTTCAAGGAGAACCACACTTTTTTCCTGAACGCTTGCAGATTAATCTCAGCGAGATCCGTAGAGAATAAAAATTTTGGTCTGGTATTTCTACGTAGAAATACCAGACCAAAATTTTTATTCTCTACGGATCTCGCTGAGATTACTTGCAGATATATTGAGCTGATCTTTGGAATGTGAGTCTACCTTATTGAGTCCCCTTAGAGCGATGCGATACAAGTAAAGGGAGCAGCTTTGAGGAGTGGAGCTTAGTTCTTCAGTTTTGTTCATTAAGATTTAAAACTCATAAGTACATGGAAGCACCTGTGATGGGATTCTTGATGTTTGACCTTGAGAGTAGGTTCAGGTAAAAAAAAAAAACTGAGAAAAAATGCTCTTAAAATGACATACCTTTACGGTAGCTTAGTCGGTAGAGAGCTCGCTCTGTGATCGGAAGGTCGTGAATTCGAATCTCGGCCGCGACTAACTTAAGTCGATAAAAAATAGGTTGCATGAGTCGAGTAAAGGTATAAATTTGAAGCCCTTCATCGGTATATGGTGACGTCTCTATATGAGTGAAAAATTGAACGTATAAAACAACATACAATCAATCAATCAATATTGCAATGACAAAAGCATGTGACCTTGGCACGGCATGGCCCTTTGTAACAAATCTTAACTAACAAATTTATTTACAAATCTAATACCCCACCCCCACCCCACCCCATTCGGATGCTAAATGTGACAAATTTGGTAGAAATTGGTCCATGCGATTCTTTTGGAGAAGTAAAAATGTGACTAGTTTACATACGACGTATGACAAACGACAGTCGACAGACGGACGCCGGAAAATCAGAAGAAAAAAAACAATTTTGATCACATCCTAATCCCGGGGGATTTTTTCCCTTGTATATATTCCCATGTAACACTTGAATACCCTACTAAGGCTCCACCCTACATCACTGGCGGATTTGTGTCCAAAATATACATAAGATTTAATAAATCAATTTTTTTCTTGGGTGTGGCCGTGGGCCCCTACCCTGACCCCAAACGTGTCCCCCCTCCTTTTCAAGATTCCTGGATCCGCCACTGTACATGATGCCCTGGGATCCATGATTTGAAGAAATGAATTCATGACCTTGTTTTTTTTTTTAACCAATTTTTTTTTTTAATAAATTTCCCTCTATACATATATATTTCCCAGGTGCTAAACTTCGATCCCCTACAGTGGATCCAAGCCCCCCCCCTCCCCGGGATGGAGGGACAAAATCCAAAATCGAATCCGCACTATCTGAAGTTGCTTGCATATTAATAAAAATAGATTTTAAAAGATTTTCTCGTATATACCCCCTTTCTCAGTGGAATAGCAATTATACGTAAAATATATTTTTTAATCTGAACTTCGATCTAAGCATACTTCCAATGCATGGACGCAAAAATTTAAGGTTCTGTAGTCAGGATCCCCCAGAAACCATTCTAGAAATTAATTAGGTTTTATTGTCATTGTTCAGTGTACTAGTGTCTAGAAATTATAAACTTTAACCGGGAAATAAATTTTGTTAGTCTAGCTCTAAGATTTTAGTTGAATAGAACATAAATAAACTTTTATACATGTAGTAATTCTTTCCGAAACTAACGTTTACAGTTAAATGAGTATGAAAATGTTGATTGAAAGACTAGTCCCCCTACCCAACCCACTTTTTGTATTCAAAAATTTTAATTGTTTTCTTGTCCATAAAAGTTTGTCTATATATAGAATTCATTATCTGGAAAAATAGCGTGTCTGTCTAGAATTCATTATCTGGAAAAATAGCGTTTTTTGGTAATAAAGGATTCTTCGGTATCTTTTTTTTTTCTTAAATTGCATACTTGAATTAATTTAATTTATGATAGTTACACTCAGTATGCTGCAAACAGTTATTAACTCTTCTTTCCGGGTAGGCTAGCATCTCCCCGCCCTTGTAAGTTTCCATATACATGTACATCATACTAAACTTTATCGCTTTTGCATTGCAAGTATATTTTATTAGATCTAAACTTCATATCAAAACTTATTTTAAAAAACAACTCCAATAAGAGGTTTTAGCAGAAAATCATTTTTTTTATTATTATTATTATTATTATACACCATGCAATCCTTTCTCCTAGAAACTTTTCCTAGTTTTAAACTTGTTTTAGGATGCATCCCTCACATTGTCTCTCACACTCTCCTGGGATTATCAGAGATATGTAATGTAATGCAATTGTACAATGTACTTGTAAAGTTTGCTATTATATGAGGTTCATCCCAAATCCAGATATCTAGACGTGTCTAATATTACTCTTACACTAGTTCTACGTCGCCTAAAAATTAAAATCTAATGCACATACATGTATTCGATTTACTTTTGAAAAAAATGATGCTCAGGTATCACTTGACTGATTTTCAGAAAAGATTTATATATAATTTATGTTCACTTCTAAAGGGTATATTTAGAAATTTCGTTCCATAATGAAATATATCTAAAACTTTCAAAGTAGCTTTTAACATGTTAACTGAAGAGATAGCATATCCAGTCTGATTAAAACAGGCTGTGCTTTCATTTTATAGCAATTAGTTATCAGCGGGAAATTATTAGATTTTTTACCCCATGTGATAATACATAAACATCTTCAAAACACCTAATTGACAGAGTTGCCAAAATATTTTGGAAAAAATGAAGGATTGGTTACTTTTGTTTCTTTACTTAAATTATGCATCATACAAAACAGTTACATGAGTAAATTAAAAAAAAAATGCCAATGGAATTCTATATTGATTTGATAAATTCTGACTGCATAGGTATTTAATTGAAAGGCTATATTTCTTAGATATGTACATTTTAATTCAAATGCCATTTAAAACTTTTATATTTTGTTTCTTCAGTTGGATATTAAATTTGAATTTTAAAAAGAAGATAAATAGGTGAGTTTAATAATAAAGGAATTTAAAAAAAAAAAGATTAGATTTTATATTTGTATTAACAGAGGAATGTTGAACCTTGAAACGATGTGGCCAACCACCTAAATTCATGAAAAAATCATATCTATATAATAATGCAATATATGAATTCAACAGAAAAGAATGTATTAATTTGTCAAAAACAAAAACGTGTTAATTTCCGGGGAGAACAACACAGGCAAGTTTTCTGTTATGAATTTCTTACTATATAGTGTGGGCTAAAAAAAATTATTATAGCTCAATAAGTGCCTGTGGAGATCACAATACAAAAATGTAACATGACTGTGAGCTACTGCGCAAACGCAGTAAATGACCACGTGTGTTCTTTAGCCAATCGCATTATTTCGGTGTTCATCGCCGCCAAGCTCGTTTTGCTAGAATAGCCGATTTAATTCAAAGTATTGTTTCCACCTAATTTATCATTTAGACCAGTGTGTATGTATTAACCACAATGTATTTCACTTTTCTGTTTATTCGACAATGACTTTGGACTTCGCACAAACGAAGGATTCTCGAACTGTTTATTTGTTTACAACTTCGGAACAGAGTTCCGATATTTCAATGGACGCCATTTTGTCATTGGGATTTTAAAGAATTTGAGAACTTCGGGAAAAGTAGCCACGGACACAACGATCCACTTAAGCCGCTGAGGTAGTCGTGGTATATTCTCCCAAGTCAGCTTGATATTTTGGATATTTCACGATGGCAAATTCCAACACGACCCTCGCTAGTTTGTGGGTCGACGATGGTAATGCTCCCTGTTGTGTATCCCCACTTCCGTTTTAGCACCACCTGTCATTGTCATATGGGTAGCGTGGTTTACACTCGTAGAAATGATCAATCAGAATATTAATACCTTGTTAGATATGCATCATATTTCATGCAACAGTTTACAAATGAAAAATTGCAAAAGAGTAATTTGAGGTGTGTAATATGTGACCCAATGAAAGTCTGCATTGATTACACAGAATATGTCAAGTGTATTGCTTAAGTATGAATGACATCCTTAGAATTTTGTACATGCACACGCCACAGTGAAGTCTGATAGCATAAGGAAGTTTGTAATAAAACAGTAAAGTTGGCTGCTGCTTGTAGATTTTGATAAATAAATATAGTGTATACACAGTATAGAGCAAGAAAATGCGGACTTGTTTGCACATTCCAAGTCACTAACATCTGACGGTATGAAGACCAGCAAAATATAAAACTTTCACATGCAAAAGGATAATCTTATTTACTTAATTTTGAGTATTTGCTACCCATTGGCATGGGGTTAGAGCAAAGTTCATGCATTATTGTAGAGTAATGGAGTAAGGATTGGAATTGATCAAATGCCATGGGTTCAAATGCCCCTTTGGGATGTGGAGACTGGCCCTTCTGTAGAGACCGAATAAACCCAGGTCCCTTGTCACAGTAGATGCTAGAATGAAAAGGATCTCTTATATTGCTCAGCAACCAGAAGTATGGAGTACAGGTCTAAATTTATGGCTTTCCACTTGCATTTGGTGGTGACCCAACAGGGGTGAAATATTCTCAAAGTGACATGATATTACTTGCAAGCAATGTTTGAATCTCAGTTCTTCCATAGTATAATCTGCTGTGTGCCAAACCAAATATGTATTTTTGTAAGAATGGGCCAGTTTTCTTTTATCTTCAGATGTCTACTTTAATTTCTTTTGGGTCATTTGTGAAGAGATTGTTAGCCATGGGTATTCAGTGCTTTTTTTCTTTGACTTTTAGAATTTTTGTAGACAATCTCATGCTCTTCATTAATTAATTACAAAATCATTAGATGAAGGTTGGTTATTCAAGCTACATTTGTCAGGTACTAAATTGAGGAATTTTCAGAAAAATAAGTTGCTAGTGATTTGTAAAAATGTTAAATTAATGAACAGCCTTTGTTTTGTAGTACAAGTTAGTCCAGTGAAGGTCATGCCTAGTACTCCAGGAAAAGCTGCAGGGAACGGGACAGAGATCCGTCAGGACATTGTACGTTTTTACAAAGATAGTGGATTGGAACCAGTTGCTAAAGAGGTAATATATAAGTAACAAAAATTTACCTTGTTTTTTTTTATTCCGAAGACATGGGCAGAGACCACTATAAATAACTATAACTACAGAAGTAATGCAAGATAAACTAATTTCAGTTATGGGTAAGTGATATCCAAACTACCATGAACTTCAACAACATTGATCAATGACCTTCATGGTTGTTCCTGAGACCCAGGGATTGGGGAATTTCACCATCTATACTGATGTAATCCCTGGTTATTCTGGTATTCCTCTTCAAACCCCTGTTAGGGGAGGAACTCCAGGCCCCCTTCTATTTTTTTAATGCCCCCCATTATTTTGATTATTAGAGACAACCTTGGACCTTGGTAGTATTTGATGGTTTGAGATGAATTTCATTTAGCTTACCACAGTATTTTTGAAATCAAGTTCCTAATTCAGTGGTTAATTCCAAACAACCAATCAAATTTTGCTGGAAGAGGCCTAGATAGAATGTTCTATGGAACTGGTATTGGCAACGTAGCAAAAATAGCAGGCAACAACATATCAACACACTACCGTAAGTTTTGGAAGACAAGACGATACTTTTTTAGCCGGGCTTTGCTGAAAGCGAAGTCCTGGCTGTAGGCATCGTGATCGACTGCCTTACTATAAATAGCACATGTTCAGAAAAGTAAACAAATAGCCTAACAGCGTCAAAGCAGACGCTTCCGATAAACAAAATAGTCACATTGAAAGACGATACTTAAACAAATATTTTTAACATCTCAATCTACGGAAATGTTAATTGATCAGTATTTTTGTTTGAGAATTAAATTGAAAGAGGAATTAGATATTTACTTTATTAGGGTAATCGTGATATAACAATTTGTGCACATACGCTACTAAATGCATATTGTAAGCGAACTATTTTCAATTAGCGCGGGCTTTTCGACAATATTGTTAAAGAATTTCATATCGTTTTCATCGATGTTATGTGAGTGGTTATATTCTCTGTTTTGTCTTTCAGCAAATAAATAGATAAGTAAATTAGAGTTTGAAGAATTAATGTGCGTTATGCCTGAATTAAGTCGCCTGACAATTGTACATGGTGTATCTGGTGTATCTAGTCGGTGATAAAAGTACTGTTTGTTTGAAACTTAAAGAATATCTCTAAAAATATGTGCATTTCTTTAACTATGAATTACATAAATTATTAAACCAATATGAATTTAATTTTTTTATACCCCACGCAACAAGTTGCGGGGGGTATAATGTTTTTGACCCGTCCGTCAGTCAGTCAGTGTGTCAGTCAGTCAGTCAGTCCGTCAGTCCTGTTTTTTTGTCAGCGCAACTCCTCATAAACCGCTGCACAGAATTTCGTCAAACTTTGCAGATATTTAGGACACAATGTGTAGATGTGCATATTACCAGGAAATTCCGATTCCTTTATTTTTTCTGGGAATTTCGGCACTTTTCAACTTAGATTTTTGGCCATATCTTGAATATAGAGAGGAACAGTTTGTCAGCGCAACTCCTCATATACGGCTGCACAGAATTTGGTTAAACTTTGCAGATATTTAGCACACAATGTGTAGATGTGCATATTACCAGGAAATTCCGATTCCTTTATTTTTTCTGGGAATTTCGGCACTTTTCAACTTAGATTTTTGGCCATATCTTAAATATAGAGATGAACAGTTTGTCAGCGCAACTCCTCTTAAACCGCTGCACAGAATTTGGTTAAACTTTGCAGATATTTAGGACACAATGTGTAGATGTGCATATTACCAGGAAATTCCGATTCCTTTATTTTTCTGGGAATTTCGGCATTTTTCAACTTAGATTTTTGGCCATATCTTGAATATAGAGATGAACAGTTTGTTAGTGCAACACAAGATCTTGGATAGTTCTCACCCCCCCCCCCCCCCCCCCAAATTGGTGCTTTGCCTTAAATAATTTCATAAGTACAGTATATAAACAAATTCATATGACTACATCATAATTTTGTTTCCATCAATTATTTAAATGTGTAAATTGTCATGTGTTGGACATGGACTTACACTCATTAACAAATCGAAATCACTGAGGAATTTAAATAACAGTTTGTCAGCATAACTCCAGCACTGAATTTCCTGAAACTTTGTAGGTATTTCAGACATAATGTATGGATTTGTATATTACCAAGAAATTTTGATTCCATTATTTATCTAGAAACTTCAGCCCAATTAAATTTGTAATATACAAAGATTTGAATGTCCTTATTCATGTATGCAAGAAGTTTTGATGTGATGATTTTTTGCAAGTAATACCCCTTTTTGAATTATTATACTGTGTATTTAAAACATGTTGCATTGTTGAGTTTTGGGGGAGCTTGGGGTATGTGAGTTTGCTCACTTTTTCTTTCATTTTAAATTAAATTCTAATTCAAATCTATCTAAAGAAAAATCAGCAAACCATATATAGTTCAACATTCTTTTAAAAAAAAGTTTGGCAATTGACAGACAAATATTTTTTGTAAAAAATTGTTTTCTTAAAAGTTAAAATTAGTGACCTCAAATGTTTAAAATAGTGACATTAAATAAAACAAATGACTTATATAATCCCCTTCACTAGCCATATTGGTAGAATTAAAAAAATTGTATGACATTTTTTGTTCGTTTACTGATATTATAGCATAATTAGCCTGACCCATATTTATTTACGTCCGTGATGCATGTATAAACAGTAAGCTCATTGACAATGTCGTGATATCGGTAATTGTTTTTAAGATCAGTATAGCATTAAGGTGTCTTGAATGGCAAGAAATTTAATGTAATAATGAATTTCAAAACATCGGTGGTCATTTATCAGATATAATTTGGTACGATACCGTGTTAATTCCTGCTGATACATGTATTTCCAGGGTTGATCTTGTGAAAACGGCTTAACAGGAGACAATTTATTAAATTTTTCCTTTCAAAATAATTTGAAAAGGATGGTTTTATGATTATATTAACGGCATAAAATAACAGCGAACACCGACTACTTGCAGCAAACAAATGCGCCGCCAGTACGAATTCGTAAAACAAAGAGACAGTTACGGAAACTTGTAATTTTCTGGGGAAAAAATGTGTAGTAGGTCAGTCGGATATAACCGGAAACAAATTTTTTTTTAGCCTAATGATGTGTGTATGTAAATATTCACGAAGATTAATCTTAAAGTTGTAATACTGGTAATGCTGAAATGTTTTCAATATATTACTACTCAAATAAAAACGTTAAAATTTGAATGCGTTTAAAAAAAAAAGGGGTTTGAAAATACGGTATTACTTCGATAACCCTGAATGCAATTAAAATAACTTTCTCCTTTCTAATAAATAATTTCGAACAAAAATCCTTATGATGGTTAAGATCTTGTGTTTGTTTGTTTGTATGTTGTTTAACGTCCCTCTCGAGAATTTTTCATTCATATGGAGACGCTACCACTTGCCGGTGGAGAGCTGCAAATTTTGTCCTATACTCGGCACTTACGGCCATTGAGCAGTGAGGGATCTTTTTCGTGCCAGCACCTTTTGCGACACGGGACCTCGATTTATACGGTCTCAACCGAAGGACCGGTCTCCACGTCCCACAGTGGGATTCGAACCTGCGACGTATGGATCAACTCCTTACTTCGCAACTATATTATTTGTATTATATATATAACTATATTATTATATTATATATAATAGAGCAGACGCTCTAACCACTGTGCCATGCGGGCGACTAAGATCTTGTGTAAAGGTGATTTAAATGAAGTTCAAAACTATTTGTTTTCTTTCATAATATGAAATAAACAATGCGATTCCATTTCGTTAATATTTTAATTTAATAGTTTTAATTTAGATGACTGGGATAAAGATTTATATTCTATGAGCATGGAATATAAATAAATAAAAATGTAAACTTTAAGATAGAAAGGATGTATTCACTATTACAAAAGAATTGACCTATAGGAGAGAACAATTTCCCGGAAAAAGTGACATTTAAAAATCAATCTTTATTTGTTGTTTTCTACCGTATATATGTCTAAATTTTTCAAATTTGTATTTTACAACTAAAATTTATTATTTACAACTTTAAAATAAACCTCCAAAATTGGCCGAAACACCATTTTGTCCGTTAAAGTGTTGATTTTTGCATGAATTTTGGCCTAGAAGTCCTTCAGGGCAGGCCTGCCCCTAAATAAAATTGTGATATTTTGATAGGTTGGGATGTAAGGAATAATTTAAGATAGGATTTTTTTAGGGGCACCCCTGCCCTAGGGTCGAAATTCACAAAAAACCTACAAAAAATAAGTAAACTTGATTTTGTCAATCTGCTTCTAATTTATACCATTCATCTTTATAGTCAGGATAGCTCAGTTGATATATGAGCTGACCATTATATCGTGGATATTTTCTTTTTAAAGTCGGGGGGTTCGAATCCACCTGGTGCCACACTTTTATAGTTTTAAATTTTCGTCTTTTCAAAGACTATTTTAAATTTTTTATAGGCTTGTTTATTTTCCTTCAATTATCTATCCTTTTTGCATTCCCATTCTTGATATAAGAAACACTAGAGAGAGATCAAATCGTATCAATCCAATGCACAGTTGTCAGTCAGGCGGAACAAATCTCAGTATAAGCACACTTTCTACGAGGACAAGAATAACTCACTCTATGTTACTCGCTACAGGTATTCTCGGAAGCATTGAGCTGCGATGAATTTCAATTGTATATATTCCTTAGAAATTAATCACATTGCTTGTATTCTGTCTGTGCTACTAGTGCTTGTCTGGGTTACATGTAGTATTTTACGTATTGCTTGAATTATTTGAGCTTAATACATGTATATTTAGAATAACATACATGTACTTTTGTTTTTAGTCAATGTTCTAAGACCTTAAGTTCTGAAACATTAGGGCTACCTTTTTAAAGTCGTAACTGTACTCCCTTGGATTTCATTTAGGCCTATATAATTTGCACACATTAATGGCATGTTTTTATTATATCCAACGGAAATGTGTTGTAAAATAAATAGCC